TCAAGAAACTATTAGTAGTGTTTTCCCGACTCAGGTCGTTGATAATCGTCACAGAATTTGAGGGATCTACCAGTGGAAAATTACTTACAGAGTGAGGTACACGAGGATGTTAAGGTGATGGAGTGAATTTGGGTGATGGTCAAGAAAACTTCATGTGCTTATGGAAGTGTGTGTGGGCGGTTATTACTACCCAGCTGCCTACACTGTGGAAGTTGATTTCTTCATGAAGTATCTGGGACAGTATTGTGGTGGTGTGATACAGACAATGTGTTTCAACGATATATTATTCTCACATATTCCCATAGTTCAACACAGCATTAGCTACAGAATACAATTCATCCCTTTGAACATTCTGTTTGTTGCTGGAGTCAGAATACTTTTACCACAGTTCAATACTGCGTTAGCGAGAGAATACTTGTATATTTGAATATTCTATTTCATATCGTTTAATGTAAGCCAAAATCAAACAAACTACAGACCTTCATTAACAGTTGTCTTCGCTCAATACTCAAGATCAGATGGCCAGAAAAGATCAGCAAAAGGGATCTCTGGGAGCGAACCAACACAGCAGGAACCGATTGTGAAACAGATATACAGGAAGAAATGGAAGTGGATTGGCCATACTCTTAGGAAACCATCAAGTGACATCACTAGACAAGCCATTGCTCGAGTGGAACCCGAAAGGGAAGCGGCGAGTTGGTCGTCAGTGAGAGGGTGACTTGGAGGAGGTCATGTGAAGAGATGAAAACGTGTGGGCAGACATGGAGCCAGGTGAAGACTCTAGCAAAGAACAGAACGCAATGGAGACGCACGGCTGAAGCCCTATGTTCCTCTAGGAATTAAAGGATACAATAATAATAATAATAAGCCAAAATCACACGCTAAATGATTGGTTAGCGACTATACAACTGCATAGATATAAATAGCGGTTTGATCAATTGAAAATATACCTTGGCTTCTGTGTCTTGCCTTCCGATGTTACAGTAGGAGCAACAGTGTTGCGTAACCGCAGAGTCCAGTAGACAACTTCTTGAGGCCAATCACGCACACTCCGTTCGAAGTAGAATTTGAATTTGTGTCTTACCACCTGCTACCGACTAATGCAAACTGAGTAGCATGTACAATCTTCGAAGTTTTCTATTTTCGTGGTGCTGCCGCCCTCCACACCAGAGTGGAACGGCGACATGGCTGGTGGTCCAATGGAAACGACTCACTGTGCCTACATCCGTATTTACCAGCAGTACGACTTCTCCCTCTGACACTCAACAGAATGTGAGTGACTTGCACCATGATCCTAACTACTTATATTTCAACAGCTAGCCAAACAACCGTTCTAGCATGGTAGGTCCTGCAGGGAGATCAGTTGTTCCAGCCAGTGTCTCTCGTCGAGTGATCGTAGTGTGTAAACCCGACCACCACGTGTAGGTGGAAGCTGTTATTTTAGTGATAACTGCTACTTAAATACGCTTCTCATACTCAATGGAATAACAGTTGTCATACTGATTATCAACAACCATTCTAGGAGTACCAGTCATTCCTTTATTGGAATGTTATGTTGATCAGAGGTAAAACCGTGCAAGAAGTATCAGCTGAATCCTGTCAAACTGTATTCATTGTAAAGTTGAGATGAATTATCTTGGAAGTACACATAATTTTAGACGATAAAAAATTGTGTGAATTGTACTCAAAAAGTGTAAATACCTATCGGACCGACATTGTGTCCACAAGGTCTGTTAATGTTTGAAAGAGAATGATGTTGCTTGAAGTCATGGCTTATGATGTGTCAGTTTGTCTTTCAAAATTTTTTTTATTTTGATTACAGCTTGATTCCACACCGTATTTTCAGTACAAGTATGGAATTTTCAGCATTGATATCGGTAGCCCAAATTTACAGGCCGACCATATATAACGGGTGTGCGCCGGCAGGGGATAGAACCCCGGACCATGTCCATGGTCGGCGAGAGTCCTAACCACTGTGCCATCGACGCACAACAAGTATTTCAGCGAAGAGATTCTTCCCGGTGAATTCGCTGAAATACTCGTTTTGTTGTTTATCAATAGTTTTCTTGGATGGGAATTATTCAGGAAATCTAGTGGAGATGGAAAGTGTTGATCACTGTACTCTGAACAATTGACTGAATAGTGGAATACTCACCGCAATTTCATTGTATTCATCTCTAGGATATTTTTGAGTGCTAAGAAGGCTTTACTTCTCTGCTTGACTTCAATCAGAGTCACACGAAATAATACTAGTGCCACAACCTAATCGTATAATATTAACAATCAGAATTGTTAAACTAAATTAGAACTCACCACCACATTCCCAATGCATCTATACAAGAAGCCTTAATATTTAACTGACCTATTCAGTCCAGAAATGTCAACAAGACTCAATTATATACGAATGACATTGAATCATATCCGCTGAACAAGTGGCCTAGTGGCTGTAACGCTTGAGCATGTTAAAATATGAGTTCTCGGTTCTATTCTATTCATACAGGGGAATACCAACACTAACTGGATAATACAGGGCGAATCCTAACCGCTGCACCATTAATATTCTAACACTTCCACTGGCCAGTCGACAACTAGTAAACTCTTGTGGAAGCTATAATTGCCCACTAACAGCAGTAATCAGTATCTGATGACAGAAGAACATTCAATGATGAATTATTGAACGGTGTAGAATTTGACTGAGTAGTGAAATGGTCAAAATTACACATTGTAAAAGTGAAGTGCACACCACAACACTAGCTACATGCAACCAGCATTCCACATAGCCGTGTCTTGTTAGCTTAGAAATGGAATTCTCAGCACTAGATCGACGCAATATCGGTAGGGGAATCAAAGAACAAAGACAGTTATACTAATATTAACGATAAATTAACATGTTATCTGCGCATATTCGGTTTCTTCTCGTTGGAATACGGGAGATTCATTTAACTTTCGCAGAATATACGACTACTGGTTAAGAGCAAAGAGTGGTGCGCGACACTACATCTATGAACCCTAGATCATGAATTATTCCCGCATACGCACTGCCTCCTTTGATGTATAGTTGACGGAACAGAAGAGAGATTATATTAAATGAAAAGCGGAAGATCACCAGGCGAGATCGTGTCAGAAATCCATGAAGTCACAAGGTTGGATTTTCTAAACTTGGCTCTTTCTGGTAGGTAACTGACTGAACCTTACTTCCTTCAATTCCATGTGGCCACTTTACTGAGCCTATGGTTATGAATGAATATGAATCAGAATAGATCACAGTAGTAGCACAGACACATTTTCCTCCTAATTATATTCACACACTTCTTCATCTGCTTTTCTACTTTTGCTTTTAATTATACTGTTTTCACTCTTTTGTCTTACTTGCTATGAAGACATGAAGGGTGTCAGAGTTCGGACAACTATGCAGAAATGGTGCGTCCATAAACTGGTATCATCGACTACTAATTAACTGACTGACTGACTAACAGGAGTAGTTAAAAGGGAATACTGTCACCACAGATTCAACACCATATTAAATTCAAAGCACCACATAAATAAACTAATAATTCAATGATCCAACAGTTTAAATCACAAACTGGTATTCTTGATACTATATCAGTAAATTTATTATGAAGATGGAGAAGAATACATGTAAAACGTGCCTAGTAATCGAGCTACCGACTATTAATACAAATTGCACAGAACTCAAGACTCCAGTAAGTACACACCCCTGGATACATAACGCATGTCCGATTTATTCAAAATAATTATGGGTCTATTAACGACTGTAATATTAAGGATATATATATACCCATGAAATCATCGTTGACTAGAGCCATGTAGGAGAGTGTCAGATGTGTAGGGATTGTTGATAGTATCGATTCAAAACTATAGTCATGAAGCAGATATGACTACTCACTCCTCATCACCTTTAGAATTTTCGTTCAACTTCATTCCACAATTCTAAGTCAATAAGATTTTTACATTTGGATAAAAGCACCAAATAATAATTCTCTTTCTCAAATAAGGATTTCTGTCCACTGTATTAGCACTGTTCTTGTCTTCTCTTTATGTCCTAGTGTCGAAGTGTAACGGTGAGAACTACTGGACATCTATTCAAAGTTCTACGTGGATTCGTCGATCAGTCAATGACTTAGTTCTTCAGTAACTCAAACAATATATTGAAATGTACGCCTAATAATTTACTAGTTACAAGTAAGGACTACCAATAATTCTGCTTACAAAATTATAGCGGTACACTCCACCGTATATGAATGCATATTGCAATCCAGAGCTCAACTTTCAGTTTAGATTTAATAAGTATATTTCAGAAATCAGTACAAACAGGAAATTGTTTATACTGATAAGTTACCCGCGATGGCGAGTCACCTAAGATGGGTGATGGATGGCTGTTGCAAACTTGAACAACAGGATTCAGTTTGCACCAACACCAAGGGCAGGTGCATGACACTGGTTACTCCTCAGTGACAACCAATCAGTGTATCTATTACAAGAGATCAATCGTCAGGCCGAATAGCTGAGTGATGACTTTTATGACTGCAGCACAGAATGACAACTTTTACTTCAAGGTCGCCTTACTGATGAGTGCTAACAAGCACGAAACTTAGGTTCGCCGAGTCCTTTCTATTGCCTCCAGCCATCTAACACGAAGTTGTTTTGATGTTATTAAATGATTAACAGTTAGAATAACAAATAATGGAAAAATGAAATAGTGGAGTGAAACGAGGAAAAACAAAGCAAAGATTAACTTTTTTCGCTAAAAAATTATATTTAAACGGTTATATAGGCTGAAAAGTTAAAACAAAGACTAAATTATTAATTGGGTATGAAGTATTAACAAAGGCATTTTTAAGATAATGTTTGGCAGATATTAGGCTGTTGTAACTGCTGAAATCAAGCACACACACACACACAGGTTATACAAATATGGGATAACAATATATCTTTAAGAAACACATGGTTCAACTTCGTTCCAACAGATCCCGATCAATTTATCCTAATTCAATAGCAGTCCTGTAAAATAAAAAGGGAAAATATTAGCTAACATTAGCAGAAGCCTTATTTACAATACTTAAATGATTAATAAATGAATTAGCATTAGTGTTTGGTAACCTCGTTTAGTTTACTAGCTCACTAGTTTTCTAACCCGTCCCAATCCTGGGGTAAAGAGGGAGGGTTGAGGGCGACCTTACACCACTAAACCAATCAAACTTCTACAGAAACTTAAAAGCACAACAAAAATATTAAAATACAAAAACTTCGAATATCAATCTTATTCTTCGCTTGAATCGGAGAGGCGAAATGACACAGAAGGCTGGTGAAAGCCTTCAGGAAGCCAGTCAGCCAGTCTATGAGTCTTCCCTCGATGAAAGCAAGAATAAAAGTGGGGACGTGGAATGTCCGTACAATGTACGAGGCTGGGAAGGCCGCCCAGGTAGCCAAAGAAATGCGAAGATATGGTGCAGAAGTGCTGGGAATCTGCGAGAGCAGATGGAATGGATGTGGACTGTCAAAATTGTCAACTGGTGAGTCAGTAATCTACTCCGGTCTGGTCGCCCAGACGATAACCACGAGCACACTGAAGCAGTGAGTGGCTATCATGACGTCACCAGTGGCAGCCAACGCCTAATGCAGTGGGAACCAATTTCATCCAGGACCACAACAGCAAGATTCAACTCAAAAGGAAGGAAGGCTGGTCACAATTATCATGCAATGCTAAGCACAGTGCTACAAACAACGCGAAACAAGAGAAGAAGGAAGATTTTTACAGACAACTACAAACAGTAATGGAAAACACCCCGGATGGCGACATCAAAATCCTTATGGGCGATATGAATGTAAGACGAACTGCAAGCGGATAATACAGGAAGAGTACTCATCATGGGTCGGGAGGCTCTCAATCAGCAAAATGAATGAGAATGGGAAACCCTTCGCATACTTCTGCGCTTTCAATGATTTGGTAACCGGAGGCAGTGTGTACAAGCATAAGGATATACACAAAGCAAAATGCATCTTGCCTGACGGACACACCACACACTAGATAGACTTCATCTCAATGCTGCTCAAGGAAGTGGGGACGCAGCCTGCTGGATACGAAGGCGAGAAGGGGGTCAGATGTGGACTCAGACCATCATCGAGTTCAAGAGACATTCAAGGTGAAGTTGAAATCCTTCAGAACAACTGGAGACAGACCACTGTAATTCAAGTTCAACAGTCAGAAACTGAAGGTTGCAACTACAAAAGATACCTCCACTACACATCAGATCACAGCAAAGTCAGATACACTAAGTGGTATCACTTAGAAAACCTGCGTGGAAGAACATTGGAACTAGCTCTCTGAAGTTGATGTACGAGCAAACGTGTACAACTGTCCTAGGATGAAAGAAGAAACACGACAAGGTATGGCTCTCAAAGGATACCTATCCGGAAGCTAATAGAAGAGAGGAGGGGAGGATGATGAAAGAGAAGATGACTCAATGCAAAGATGGACGACAGAAGGAGAAGCTGAGTTCACATCAATATACACTGCACTGAATAAAGAAGTGAAGAAGAGTTCTAGGAAGGACAAAAACAATTCTACGACACACTGGCTGGCGACTGAAGCAGTACAGGCAGGCAGGCCGAAGGTCAAAGAGACCTCAGAACATTATATGAGATAACCAGGCTGCTCGCTATCCGGGAAGAGATCAATCCAGATGATGAAACCAATGAAAGATGTTCAAGGGACCCTGATTACCAAGGAGGAGAAACAAATAAAACAATGGGTTGATCACTTCAAATATCTATTGAGTCGACCACCACCTGCAACTCGCCCAGAAATACACCACCACCAACAGCACGCATACAACCGCCTGCCAGTGGACACCAATCCTCCAACAAAAGCAGAAATCATGAGTGCGATCAAGCTACTGAAGTTCGACCGGGAAGGCAGCAGGGCCAGACGAAATCCATCCACCCACCCAAAGCACTGAAAACGGACCCAGAGACTGCGGCAGATGTGCTCACGCTATTATTGCAAAAGGTTTGGAAGGAGGGAAGGAAAGGTGCCTACCTACCAAAGCTACCAAAGAAAAGCGACTCAGGCCTCTGCAAGGGCTGGCGTGGAATGGTGCTTTTGCCAACGCCAAGTAAAGTACTAAGTCGCGTCACCCTGGAGAGAATGAAAGATGCAGAACTCCGGTAGCCCAGAAAAAACTGAATTCAGGTAAGGTAAATCATGTGCTGAGCGAATTAAAACTCTACGCATCTTCATCACCGAACAAAGCATGGAATGGCAGTCAAACCTCCACCTCAACTTAATCCACTTCGAAAACGCCTTCACCAGACAGCGTTGACCGAGAAGTGATTTGGAAACTGCATTATAGATAAGATTTTATTTTGATAAATCACACAGTGTTATGCAGTAATATTAACTGATGACGTTTCGAGCACAAACTATTGCTCATAATCAATCATATCAAGTCACTCACACAACTTTTTACTTCATTTATATACATGAGTGGAATTGATTAGACATTTGAATAAAAGTCAATATAGGATAATGTACATTTATCAAAATTAAATCTTATCTATAATGGAGTTATACTCTACCACAGTGCCCAAGTTTTATACTTATATCGATTTGGAAACTTCTTTAACACTACGGCGTGCAGTGTCTCCAGTCTTTATCAACCTCATTCAACAGATGACTATATGACAATGCCTGCCACGTGTCAGGTAACCCACAACATAGAGAAGAAGGAGATGATGAAGATAACCAACCAATAGCAACAAAAACCAGCACCGATCACCATCAAAGTGAGAGATTTAACAGAGGTTACCTCCTTCACTTATCTAGGAAGCATCGTTTCGACTACAGGCCGATGACACGGATGAAGATGTCAAGGCCAGACAGAATCGGGAAGGCAAGATACGCACGCCTTCATCAACCTGAAACCAGTTTGTAAGTCTTCTGTACTCAGCCTCAGCATAAAGAACAAGATTCAGATTTTCAACACAAATGTGAAGTCAGTCAGTTCATCTATATGGGTCAGAAACTCGCACTGCGCGTCACGAAAAGGATTTCCAACAGCTTACAGACTTTTATGAACAGCTGATTTCCGTGGCTCCATACTGAAGATCGAATGGCCAGAAAGAATTAGCAACAAGAAACTCTGACTGGGAACAATCCAACGAAGATCCGAATACTAAAATAATATGTAGGGGAAAATAGATATCGATCGGGCATATGTTGAGGAGGCCGTTGAATGATATCGCGCGCCAGGCTGTACAGTGCAGTTCATGTGTGTTACCATGAAAAATAATTACTGTTGATGCCTCACACGTGAAACGGTGTTTTAGTGACTGTGATCCATCACTTCAAAGAAACCCAGGGTACTTTACCATATACTTCGCATATTCTGAAAAGTTATTGGCCAACATATGCGATGCGACCGGTTACAGACTAACAGAAAGCAGGACTAGGTTGTTAGAGAGAGAAGGTGGTGCTCATTCGTGGAACGTGCACGGTTTACCTGTGATGCACGTGACCCTCATAATTTACGATATGAGTTTCCTCAAGTTAATCGATACACCTTACTAGGTGAATACCAACAAGCAGGACTATATTGCCTAGCATCGATCGACTTATCCAAATTGTATTTTGTTTTGTAATTTCAATTCCCCGTTGTTATCAACACTTTTTTCCTAAGGTAGTTTGCAAGGTACTACTACACCCAGTGAAGTTAATCACAAATACAATAAATCGTGACATTCAGTATTGGCTGGCCAAAAGTAGTCAATAAAAACCCATCACCTAGGGAGTTAGCTGCATTTTGACACTACCAAGACTAATTTTTTTAAAGAAACTCACAGAAAGTCGTACACAGCTTAGCGTTGCTTCACTAAAATATTACCAAACAACATCTTGAGTTTCAAACTAACCACCTGATCTGATTGTCAATCAGGCTGCTACCAACAACATAGGGTCTAATATTGTATATCTTATCTCCACACAAAATTTTGAAATAATGAGGATATAAAAATCACAGGAAACTTCAAGAAAAGAAAGCAAATAGAAAATGCGGCATTAAAACTATGTTAATAAAACGCAAATACTTTCTCACTACTTAGTGACATTTTGAGCGATATCAGTTGGAGTTAAGATACGAAACCCAATAGTGTTATTTATAGTCTCCCACTCGACTCAGACGAACAAATTTTAAGCAATATTATATCGCCAACTGTGAACACTAGCATTGTTTGGTATCGAACAGTTGAATGCAGTTAGTTAATAGGAATGAAACTGTATTTTTAGATGATACCTCAATAAGTCTGATATAATTTTCAATTAGAAAGAAAACAAAACTAACCTAATATGAACGAAGTTTCGGTGGAACAGTTGGACAGCTTTTAGCATCTAAAGTAGTATCGATCACAGGACGATATTGCAATTTCACAGCACCAGTTTTAGGATCTTGATAGGATAAGGTGTGTTTTCGCCAATGTTCTTCAAATGGTTTGGCTTTTTGTCCTTCAATCGGTTTAGAATAGTCATATTCATCTACTCTACTGGCAAAATCTTCACGTGCATGAGCACCACGAGATTCTTTACGAGCTTCAGCTCCTACAATAGTCTGAAATCAATGAAAAAATTATAAACGCATACAACGTGTTCCCTTGATCATCTTGTTCTTCTTGCTTCAACGAAGAAAAACTTAAAAATTAAAAAACAAGCAAGATTAAGTGCTATTTTTTTAGGTCAGTTACAATGATGACAATGTTCAAGTGATCGCTTATTGTTCATGTAAACAAACTTTATAAATGCATCTGATGACCATAACACTATTGTACTTCATTGACTCCTAACTTAGAGATAGGGAGTGAAGTGGTGGCTGAGCGTGTTAACCACTTCACTTATTTGGGAAACTGCATCAGACAGCGCCAGCGGGTTGATCTCTGACGGAATCTCAGCACGATTAGAGAGGGCATTTCCCAACTTGCGCCACCTATGGCGTAGACGTGATATCCGGCCGGCTATCGATCAACGAACGTGTGTACTGCACAGTACCACCAGTTCAGTCCATCCTCCTTTATGGCTGCCTGTGAGACATGGTCATTGAGAGTGGAAGACATGAGAAGGTTGGCTAGCTGTCTTTGATCATGGGTGTCTACTTTCTATATCCCGTCTTAGGTGGTATAATGGGGTGAGTGATAGTGAGGTTAGGCTTCGGTCGAGTGCTAGGTAAGGAGAGAAGGGCGAAACAGTTGATGGGATTGTGAAGCTACATCGATTGAGATGGTTATGTCATGTGTTACGCATGCATTCCTAGCCATCCATCGGCTTCCTCGACGGACAGTCTTAGCTGACATAGGATGGATCAGGTTGGAAAAGAGTTAGTGGTGGTCAAACCAAAACATGGCATCAGTTAATGAAATCCATAACAGTTAGTTTAAGTCGCGTAGGAATATGCAGACTTCCTGGTTGGTTGGGGTCCCCGGGACAATAGAAACCAATGGCTGGGAACAGCTGGTGATATGGCTGAAAATCGTTCTCAATGCATAGTGCAGATGCATCCACTTTTTGACTTATAATATCCAATAAAACCATATCATTCTTCCATATTACTATTCTTTTTGCCTCACACTGCTGTTTATTATCTTTCTTTTGAATCTCTCTTCACTCTCTTCTCTTGCTTTGTGCGCTACATGGAGGGAGAGTGGCAACTCGAACTGCTGCACATCTGTGCAAAGTTCTACGTTGAAAGCAGTCAGTCAGTAAGCCTATTGTAAACACATTGAACTAATAGAAAAAACAGCAGGATGTGTGTGTGTATGTTGAGGATGTATTTAAAGAAGACTATTACCGCAATAAGTCAAACTGCACTATTCAACAAAGGAGAACATATCTGTTTACCGCCTCAAATTGCGACCTGAGCAAAATTTCGCATTGGTCCATCGACGGCACACTTGGATATGGATCTCGATATCTATGGCGTCCAAGTACCATGTTATAAAACTGCTAAATACGTGATTACACTAGCCGAAGTAGATTATAAAACCACTAATACACGTATCTGTGGTACAAGTACATATGACAGTGAAGAACTGATTGACATTCTGAATTGTAAGGATGCACCTTGAAATCCCAGATTCAGACTAATATCTTTTCAAATTGAGTTTTTCAACAAATTCTGATAGCTTTAAGAGGATTGTTGTGGAATCTAATAACTTGTTTCCTGATATGATCATTCTTTTACTGTATGATTCATCAGATGATGAGATGTGGCTAAAACTGAATATATAATATATATTATATAGGAGAGAGAGAGAGAGAAAGGGCAGAAACCTATAACTTCAAATTAATGCCATCCAGTTGCCCAAACTAAAGCAGGACATTCCAAATCAGCTGGATGAGGCAAGTTATAGGCATCAAACACAATTCAGACTAACTGTAAAAATCAATTATCACAGTACTTTAAATGATAACATTATTTTTCTGAATATACACTTACCTGTAAAGCGTTCAACATTAAATTTTGTAATTCTAAGGCCTCCATTAAATCACTATTCCATATTTTACTTCGATCGCTAAGTTTTAAATTATTCATTCTGGAGGTGTACAATTCATACATTTTCTTACAACCTGTTTGTAGTGTTGGACCATCACGAAATACTGCTGCATACTCTTGCATTGTACGTTGCATCTCTAATCGAACCTAAGTGTATGTGAGAAAGAATAATTCAATGTAAGTATTAGCAATTGCATTAATGAATACTGAATAAGGATTGCTTTTCAGAATTTTATAACCAACATTTATTGTAAAGTAGTGGAAAAAACCTTAATAGATATCACACAAATAATCAGTGTAGAATACTACTGAGATGTTGATGCAGAATTCAAAACTGCCACTGCCGAAAAAGCATTGTTCAGACTGCTCTATTTCAAATCTTTCAAGTCATGTGCTTTTGGAAATGTTACAGCGAGAAGCATGCATTGAAGGTACACTATAATACCGATAAGAAATATTTTCCAATGTTGAAGCATGAATGTAACTCAACAACCACGAGCAGTTTCGTCTGGCAGGCAGCGAGTCATAATTACTACTTGAATCGAGAGAGACAACAGGGTTTGAACGGTAATCTGGTGGATAAAAGTCAATCAGTAAGCAATAATTTTTTCAAAAACAAAACAGGGAAAATTTCATTGAAAGTAACAACAAACTGGATTCTTAGAAAATGTATTAGCAGTCAAGGATACCACAGTATTCTCTCGTTTATTACTTAATGCCTTTCGCTTTTTGCTCCTATTTATTGTTTTACATTGCTTTTTGTTCTCAATTAGATCTTATTCAGGCTTTACTTATGTAAAAATTTCAACAAATGAAGGTGTCTGTGGATTACGTAATGCCATAGGTACATACACAAATGTCGCTTCTAATAAAACACTTATCTGGATTCCTATGATGGTGTAGGCTATGTCACTCTCCTTTTCATGTTTGGCCCATTCACAAATTTCATCTCAAACAGGTTGGCGTTAGAAAACTAGTTCAATCTACTACTACTACTGCAGCTAAATTTCTATTCCGTCTGGATTCACGTATTCACGAATATTAAATGCACTTGGAGGACGCCATGAAGATACCGAATTGAGTCACTTGCAGATCAGAGGGGTGTTTCTGACAGCCTCTTGCAACTCCTTGATTCTAGTCAGTCCATTTAAGTGAAAAGTATGGTAATCTGAGTCAGTTTGTTATGTATCAGGTCAAACAGTGCATGAGTATGTGGAATTCCACGTCTAGCAGTTACAAACTTCTCGAAAGATAGCAGTAACCGATATACCTAGCAAGTTTTAGAAACTATTCCGCCTCATTCAAGTCACTGGCGGCCAGTAGAAAGGCGTTAGTCACGCACATATTTCGTCAATTATGAGCCTATAGAGATGCCTTGCAAGCTGGCCACCACAGCCATTGAGGAACTCTTTAACTCACCTAAGATGTCACTGTCCAATGTTCTTAGTCACAGTGATCCACGATCAGTTAACACAGATCCACCTAACAAATCGAAGGTCCAGGATGAATTCCAATTACCCATGAGCCATAAAACATTCACTCAACCTACACTGCTTACATGAGACCTTCTCCAAAGATGTTAGCGAGACTCTGGTCAGAGAACCCATTAAATTATTTCAGAACGTATGGGAATTGAGTGTCTCATCAATATGGAATGAGGCCATCATCGTGTTTACCTTTCACAAAGACCTACATAAGACATGTAGAAATCGCCGATAGATAAATTTGTCACTAGGAGTGTCAAAAATACTGGCTGCCATCGTTCTTCTCAGACTTCGTAAAGCACGTGGAAAATTAATTCACGAAGACTATAAATGCATCTACTTTGTGTTCAGTATCTGGGAGTGTTTAGAATACCGTCACGATTATTGCAGGTGGGAAATGGTTGCATTCTTTGGTATTATGTTTGTATTCTACTCTTTAGCGAGGTCATTTCTTTTTTAATATGTTTGACAAGGAAAGGGGTTCCCAAGATCCTGACTTCGGCATTCTGAATGCTCCATACAAAAACCCTACAGGTAGAGTGGGCACATACCACTAGCTATTTACCACCAGCAATGGAACTGCAAAAAGTTTCGCCATTTTACTACCTCTGCCTAAACTTGCCATCGATCACATTTCAGGCATGCACGAAGGCTGATTTAAACCTCCTGTTTGTAGAAAGACTGGGCGATTTTGAGTAAACAGACGATATCATCTTAGAGTGCTATACCATACAGGTTTCTTTTCTGTTTATCAGCCAGAGACTGGTTGGAATAGGTGGAGGATTGGACGTCTCATCACATGACGCTGTGGTTTGAAGGACAGTCAAGTTGGGTTGTCATCTGTCGGGTGACTCGGGACGTTAGCAGATATGATTCAAAACCAATATTAATAAACATTTTAAAGTTTCTTAGTTTCCTTCACTCCCTAAGGTTTTCTTGAGTTTACTTCACAAATATGTTCCCCTGTTACATTCTCCTAGTCAGCTATTTCTCACTTCACTATACTATTGTTGAATTATTTTATTTGGAGCTTTTCTTGGAACCAATACTGTGCCAAGTGTTCTCAAAATAATAATTCAAAAATAGTAAAAAATAATACTTAAACTCCGAAAGTCTCTACTGTTTCGCCTACTGGAATAGGAATGAGGTGGGATTTATTGTTTAAGACCCACTTGTGAGGTCCACTTAAAGTATCAAAAAGTTACAAACTGAAAACAAATCATTATTAAGTACTAAAATATTAACACGGACATACTTGTGCTACTGGGAACTCTCCATTGGCCGTTCTAAGTTTCTCGTAGTTAGCGATCGAAGCTTCTCCAGAATCTGCCTTTAATTCTGGACCAGAATCTCCGGGTTTGTGTTTTGAAGCGATATCCAATGCACATGCACGACCAAACACAACTATATCAAGCAGTGAATTTGCGCCCAGTCTGTTGGCACCATGAACTGAAGCACAAGCAGCTTCACCAGCAGCATACAGTCCGGGAACAACTTTGTCTTTCTTAGCAACAGGATCATACGTCAAAACCTGTAATGAAACAAAATAAGCATATGGAGACACTTATACATCTTGTTTGATCATAAATAGGCTGACACATCACATAATGGATGATAGAAAGCGAAGGGAAACCTCAATTGAAGCACAATCTGAACTGGCAATATCCAGAATATCAGACTGCAGCCTTGTAGGCTGAGTTATGAGACATAATTGTTAACCAGGCTTTTGTCAATAAACTAGATAATTACTAACTCTAAACTTGGGAAAAATATTTTAGTTGAACTACTACTACAAGAAAACTACTTTTTGAAACAATAATTGTTGTTGCATTAGCTAGTTTCTTTTTAAATTTACTTTAATAGACGTTGACGTCGTTCCTTATGAAATGGTCGTTAATTTATAGAGTGAAGTGCTACTAGATCTGTAGTTGATTCGCTAATCTGTATTACTAATAGTAGCTTTAAGTACACCAATGTGATACCAGTGTCAACACCATATGCCGTTTAAGTTCTGTGAGAATGTTTTTATACATGTTATACTAGCTAGAAAATTAGTCTCTTGAGACTTACTTCTCTGTAAATTGACTGAGTAGTGACAAAATTCAGTATATGATACTGCACTTGCAAATACTTTGCAGTGTAGTTACAGTTGGGGTTTTTTAAGCGACTTTATCGGGAATGATGCAGATTTACAGCCTTTGACGAGGCTAATTATGAATTAATGGCCTTAACTCATATTAATATATATGTAAAACTTGGACACTGTGGTAGTAAGTAATTCCATATCAGTTTGTTTATTAGATATATCACACAAAGAGACAGTCTGTGTGTCTGTTTTCGACGTAGAACTTTGCACCGATGTGCAGCAGTTCAAGTCGCCACACTCCATGTAGCACACAAAGCAGGAGAAGAAAGTAGAAAAAGAGACAGTAAACAGAGGTGTGAGACAAAGGAATAGTAATAACGAAGAACAATAAGAACAAAGAGACAGTATTATTTACTGGATGACGTTTCGAACTAAATTTATTGTTCATAATCATATCGATTATAATCACAAGACTGAAACTTAGCCACAACTTGTGTTACTAACGTAGATATAGCTTCCAAGAGATATAATTTGAAATCCAACACATGGTTGTATCCAATCATGAAGTTGCACTGCATGAAAACTTAGAGAAAAGGTGTGGCTAGTGTAAAAGGAGGAAATAGGCTGTAACAAACGCTGCAGTTAGTAAGACGTTTCACAGGCTGCGATTTACCTACATAACGTATATGTCCTAATTTGATAACAAGAAAATGATGAGTGGTGTTACAATGAAAGCAACTAAGTAAATAATAATAATAAAAGTAATAATAATAATAATGGATAAAGTACACAAAATAAAACGACGTTCCCAAGTACGGAAACACAAAAACAAGTGTTCCAATGAAGATTAAAAGGGAGTACTCGTCGAGGACAAAAAACAACACTTCGACGTAACCATGTTGTTTCATATTTATTTAATTACTTTCTCTTTTTTTTAAAACTCTTGTTTACACCAACTTCCTGTAGACTACGACAAAACATATTCTCCGACTTACGCCATTTGTAAAAGACGATTCAATATAGTATAGTATAGGTTACCACACTTTAAAAACACGATTTCAGTGCAGTAAATTTTTCAGCGTACTAAGTAAACCAGATATCTAGACCGAACAAGCTGGTAAATGGTCTTTCACATCTGAATAGTAACTGGGTCGCTACGTATTTCTTTGTTTGATTTGGTACGTAGCAATGCAGTTTCAATTGTAATGAAATACCAACTAACCAAAAGGTAGATGGAAATATAACGTTTCAAGGCAAGTAGGATCTCTCGTGAATTTTATTAGATCGGATTTATCTTAATAAAAACCAGCCGCAGTTCTATGAATGTTGGGCTTTGAAAGTTAATAAGAAAACTCAAGTTTTTGAAATCACCTCGACACTGCCAAATATATCATATCAATCTCAATTCCACAAGTTATCTAGGGGAGATTGAAAATGACATCGTTGAGAAGATTGGGATCGAGACAAAATCGTTACTTAACACCGACAACTAAACACTTTACATTTGCTTCTTTTCCTCACGATTTAGTCTTCAAATAGTGGAAGTTGTGTTGCGCGAATATACCTTTCCTAAACTAGTACTCCCTATATGTATTATTCTTCGCCCTTATATGCCACAACATTTTGAAAAAATGGAGATTTGTGGCTCAGGTGAATGATTTTTATTTAGTTGTGTTGGCTTTATTGAAAAGATTTCATGGTTTTCCTAGACAAAATCTTTAGCGCAAGCTTTAACACGAAGTGAACTTAACAGAATCACAAGTCGATAAAAACGACCAATAAAAATGTAAATTTAAAACCAACCACGACGGAGGTTGTCAGGAGGCTTGCGCTGACGACGGACGGACGACGAAAGCTTTGCAATTAAATCAACCAGCCACAACCAAGTAAAAACAATGGCATCCATCGATCAGTATCTAAATTGATGTGGCAAACAAAACCTTACACTACCTAGTGACAAACTGATTCTGGCAAACCACATATAAAATTTCACTAACCTGTCCTTTGTAATTCGTCGGGATTCCTCCCATATTATAGTGTACAGTTGGTAAGACAGGAATAGGATCTCTTGTTACATCAACACCAGCAAATATCTTTGCCGTCTCTGATATCCCAGGCAATCGGCTGTGAAGTTGCTCTGCCGGAAGATGGGAAAGTTGCAAATATATATGGTCATTCCTAGGACCAACACCACGTCCTTCCCGAATTTCAATTGTCATGGCTCTTGAAACGACATCACGAGAAGCTAAGTCTTTGGCGTTAGGAGCATATCTTTCCATGAATCGTTCGCCTTTGCTATTTATAAGATATCCACCTTCACCACGACATCCCTCAGTAATCAAGCACCCAGCACCATAAATACCTTAGGATTTACAAATAACTATACTCTTACTCACCTGTAGGATGGAACTGGACGAACTCCATATCCTGGTTGGGCAAACCAGCTCTTGTAATCATAGCAGTCCCATCACCGGTGCATGTATGAGCTGATGTACATGAAAAGTAGGTGCGACCGTACCCTCTAAAACACTAGATTACAACCTGAAACATACCCTGTAGCAAGAACGGTGTTCCTTGCGCGGAAACGATGTAACGTTCCATCTTCTAAGCATACAGCAATAACACCACGGCATTCACCGTTTTCCATCAACAAATCCAAAACAAAATATTCAATAAAGTAACTAGCATCGTAGCGTAGCGACCGGCCATACAATGTGTGCAACAGTGAATGCCCAGTGCGATCTGCAACTGCACAACACCTATGAGCCTGACCACCACGTCCATAGTCTATGCTTTGTCCACCAAAAGCCCGCTGATAAATTTTACCATTCTCCAGACGACTAAACGGTACTCCATAGTTTTCCAACTCAATAACGGCTTTTGGAGCTTCCTCACACATATATTGAATGGCATCCTGATCGCCCAGCCAATCAGAGCCTTTCACAGTGTCGTACATGTGGTAACGCCAGTCATCAGGCTCCATATTGCCAAGAGCTGCATTTATCCCACCCTGTGCAGCGACGGTGTGTGATCTAGTGGGGAATAACTTCGTGATAATCGCAGTCTTAAATCCTTCATTAGCGAGACCGAACCCTGCTCGTAGACCTGCACCGCCTGCACCAACAACAACCGCATCGAATGAATGGTCAATGATGGTGTATCCACTTGAATGACTCAAATTCCTACACCTTGATCCCAGACATGTGTTTAATGAATGGCTTAGTCTAGGAATTTTACTAAGAGAGCGCGACAAAAGACTTAAATTCACCATAATACGATATACGTAAGGAACTAATTCAATGGAGGCGCCACACAGGGACGTCAATCAATATCCAATATGTGCAAATCATTTGATTTCTTTCTCTCCCCTTAATATTGTTAGATATTTCTCGATTTTTAGTGAATGTTTGCGTTAATCCAGCAAAGGCCGGAGGTTTCAGGAAATCATTAAGAATTTTCTATCAAATGTAGAAACATCAGAGTGCATTTTAACCTATTTTGTCACGTATCTGAGCTTGTATCTTCCTCTCCAATGGGAAATTCCTAAATACCACCAATTCCAAGAGTTATCGTTTCATAGGAAGGACTAGTACCCCACTTCCAATTGGCCCAACCTGATTGGAAGGTAAAACGGAGAAATTTTGGGTCTAGAATCACTTTCTAGAAGTCTACATATTATTGTAATGTCCCTACCCTGAATAAGATAAGGAACTTTTTTATCGTGCCTAATATGATAAGTCAGTTTTGCCGTTCCCTGAACCTGTGTTGATTTGTAGCGGCAAATGATTCCCCAAAATTATTGACCACAGCACTCATCACTGAACATTAGATGCTGACCCTCACTGTTTAAGTCAACTTGTTTAGCTGAAGGCTTCCGGTCAAACATCCACACCATTTATTACTTCGTCGTGTCAGGTGCGTGCACGATCCCCAACCAGCTAAGCAATCCTCTCGCACTCCGATTTGGTCCCGAAATATATCTCGTAATTTGGACGATCAACTATCGTGTTTTGCTTTGCCTCTGGTCAAAGCGGAATGAATACTGTAGAAGTTGTGGGTATTAGATCTTGCGTTAGTATACTTCGTACTATCTATGAACGTCAATACCATCAGCCCCTAAAGATTAATTCCCTAAAGTCATTGGCCGGTAGTTATGTTTTTATTCATCATTGGGTGTTGACCATCACCGTTCAGGTTCACTTGTTAAGCTAGTGAAGTCAAGTATCTTCTCCACCCTTACTGCTCGTGCATGATCTCTAATTATCTAAGCAAACAACACTGATCGACTGCACTGACCTCAAAATGTATTCCGCATTTTGAGGATCTAACGTTTTTTTTTGTGGCCTGCTAACTGTTCTCAGGTTGACTCTAAACAAGAACATTTTAAGCTGGCGGATATTGTATACGTGGTTGGGTATCATCCCGTCAACCTCTCCCACCGGTATGTAAGACTTGCCTTTCGAGAATTTATAAACTGGAATTTTGCCAGAAATATACATAGGGCATGGATCATATCACTGTTGATCTTAGTAAGGGTTCTATGCCGAATATGTGAAACATCAGGAAATAGAACTACATAAGGCAGGTGGCCAAATTATACGAGGGCATTGAAATGATTATTAGTAATAAGTCGTGTGTGAAACGTAGTACAGTAATTAATACAGTATTACTACATTTTATAGCAACTAAACCTATCTACTTTACTGAGCACAAATAAGGGAGTTCTTCATTTGACTGTTACGTGAGTAGCTTGCCGAAATGCAAAATAATTATTATTATTTCCCTAAGTTCCGAATGGAGCATAGGACTCTAACACCACGTCATTTCGCCTTGTGCAAAATAATAATACACAAAAACAATCCTATTGGCACATCTCCTACAACATACATCCGGTAGCACCTCTCCGAAGATCCCAAGGATACAGATATTTTGGGATGCCTTGGTCATCTTACCCAGTATTCCAATGCTTAACCTCTTCTAAAACAGCCGAAGGCATTTTTACGATACTTGGAATAAAAACTTGTGCCTGCCTTCCATAAAAGTTGCCTTCAAGTTGCAGTGCGAAACTAGCGGTACGCGAAACATTATCAGCCGCGAATAACCCACGCTGGTCCAAGTCACTCACTTTGGTTCCCCTCAGAACACGAGATGTAATGAAGGCTCATGCTTTGCGTACTAATGCACGGCTAATACATGGAAAGACACAGAGACTACTGGGTGATTTATCTTACTCTCCAGCTTACCGCCAAATGTAGATCACACCTGGTAAGTCACTTGACTCACAAACGTGGTGAGTTCGGTTAAGCTGTATTCGCTCCAATAGCACCCAATTGACATTTCTATTCGTTTATGTCAAGCAACCTCGCACGCACACTTGTTCCTTATGAATTTGAACATCAGTCATACTACATGCCAAATACAGGCATAAAACCTATAGACAAATTCTCTACTTCAGACAAAAATTGGCCCCAAAGACTGCATTAGTATAGACCGCTTCAGATCAGCATACATGAAAGACAGCCCTATGAACCTCGAGCTAGTCTTTCTACATAACTGCTGTCAATGTAGTTGAAGAATGAACGGTTAATTCATGGTTGTTTACCCAAAACCAACCCCATATTCTGGTGGGAGTCACCGATACTGCAGTCATCGTTCCATCGTTCACTGTTCGTTAGAAGACGGAGAAATACTATCACAAGTATTATTGTGATTAATTAATAATAATATATTCTCATTTTGTACATGAGGAACGCCAGTTTACAGGCATCATCAAAATTATAAATTACATATACGATAAGTAAACATATTTAATAATAGTAATTTAATAAAATACATTTTTTCCCACCTGTGTAGGACACACCAGTTGTACAGGCATGGATAAGTATTATTTAAATTACATAAATTTGGTTTATGGTTAATTATATGGTTGCAGTCGTTTTTGTCTTTGGTTTGAGGGAACGATATGATAACTAGTCATTCAATGGAGCACATCAAGAAATATAGAAATGTCTTCGCATTAACAAAGAAAACCCAAGTATGTTTTGGATGGATTACAAATACTTGGGAAAAAAATAAAGCTTGAAGTAATTCCCCCATATAACTTTGGTGTGTACGGCATCGAGTCTTATTCTTGATTTATATCCAAATTTGATAATAATTTAAAATAAGTAATACACTTGTATACTTTTGTCAGCATTTTCATCGTAACATCACAAGTGAATAGTACTCAAGGTAGACTAATAATAATGACAGTTTATATTTTCTTATAAACGGGTGTTTTCAAGAAATGCAAGCTATTTTTGCAGACACGATCAGCTATGTTGTAAGTTATTATCGTGAAGTATTATAAATCAATACTTTTTTATTGGTATAAAGGTATATTTCACAACTGTAATCCAGGTTGCGTCGTGGGGAAATGTAATGCGTAATTCACGAGGGAATTGTTAGATATGGGACCAATGATGTTTGCAGATCATTTGTCATTGTAAATGGTCGAAAATGCACATTCTTTGTTCTCTTTCAAAAAGTTAAATGGAAGCTGAAATGGTGAGAGACAAAAGAAGACAAACAACAACAACAACGCAAAAGAAAGCAAGTGGAGTACTTAGGGAGTGATTAATATGTATATATACATTTATATTCTGTTTAGTAATTATAGTTATTTTGGTGCACTAACTAACTAGTCCCGTGATGCTAACTTTTATACTATGTGTGAACTAATGTTGTTGTCCTGTTTAGAAATGTTTGTCATGTACTTCCAACAATATTAAAATGTATAATTGTAGTTTTTTGTAACCTACACGTTTAATGAACTTAAAATATCTATGTAGGGTGAAAAAGAGGGTGTAAGAGTCAGACGCAGAAGTGAATTGTCATCTTTGAGCAGTCTGGTGACTGAGGAGATGAACACTGTGAGTGTGTTTGCATCACGCACATCAGCTGGTAGTTTATTCCAAATGACTGAAACTTATTTAAGAAGAAGTTGTACCGCATGTAAGTCTGACAATGCTCTATAGCAGCTAGGTTGTGATGATTTCTAAGATTGTAACTGATGACAGCGGTAGGTTTAATTATTGGCTCGGAGGAGTGCACGAGCAGATTAGTTAGCTTGTAGTAAAAAATTAGGTTTAGCTTAAGACGTCTTTTCCAGAGTGATTCTAATCTTAGTCTCTCGCAACGCTCATAGTATTCGAGACCACTTCCTAAACCAAGAATTCTTAAGGTAAATTGCCGTTGCACTCCCTCTAATTTAAGCTTGTCATTTTGTCTCAGTCCGCTAAGAATAAACGGGCAGTATTGTAAAATAGGTCGGACACATACTTTGTATAATAAAACCCTAGTTTCACAACAAAAGAAATTGCGAGTTATGCAACCTAGGAGCCTTCGTGTTTTACGTCTGGCATAATCAGTTTGTTCAGAGAATGTTAAGTTACTAGAGTATCTGATACCGAGATCTACGACTGAGTTGAGCTTGGCTAGTTTACGCCCATTTATTTCAAGATTTAGGTCAAGGTTACTGTTTCCGATACAAATCCAGCCGCATTTGTCAATGTTAAACTTGAGACAGGATTCAGCACACCATGTTGCGAGACTACTTAGTTCAAGATGTATTTTACTTACCATATCGCTTAATTCATGAGCGTAGCAGGAGTAAACGACTTTGAGGTCGTCAGCATATAGGAATGATTTACCTGAGGTGAAGCATTTATTCTCAGACCTTCTGTATAATAACCTTGTGGTTGGTTCCTTATAGGTACAAGAATAAAGGATTCTCGAGTCACCAATCTATGTTCTGTTTTTTCGCGTTGGTTATTGCACATTGTTGCTGAAGGTCTTCTAAGGACAGCGTTAATTCCAGTGTAGTTAGACCTGAACACTGACAACTGCCTACATACATTATTTCCTTGTGCTTTCAGAGATAGACCGGTCCACAAATCAGACATAAATCTCCAGTAAGGCAAGAGCAAAAACACCTTCTGAATGGCCCATCATGTTCCTACGGCATCTTCATGTATATGTTACAGGTTAAAACAAACGTTTCAAAAAATCTGTTTGCTAAGGGCACTCTTATATCATTCTATGTCATAAATTTAGTGACATCTTTATGGCTTCAGATGTACTGCGTCTAGTGGTTATGGAGCAAGCACCAATTTCAAAGTCGTCTCGTTTTCGGCGTAATTGATAATTTTACAGAAAAATTTATCGGCTCTAGTGTTTTCTCGACCAGGTGTGACAGGTGCTGAACAGGAGACGGACAGAACACGAGGACCCATGAATGACCGTAACCTTGGAAGGTAAGTTGTAGGGGTAAATAATTCCCATAGCTTATCAGCCT